TCTATCTATGCATGTGGATTTCTTGGACAGGGTTCTTGTGTCATTTAGCAGGATACAGTGGCTCATGTTGATGTACTGTCTAGCTGTGATTGACTTTTCTGGACAATAGAGCTGGATGTGGCAGTTGTATACTTTGGCTTTTTTTCAACAGAACAGCTAGTTTGTCCGAAGTAAACCATGTTTGGACTAGCGTAGCCTTAATAAAGGAAACTTGTTGGGATGCCTACCATCTTTGAGTGCTTAGAGAACATCCTTCAACCACTAATTACTCGGCTTGTAACATCTGGACAGGCAATGAACAATATTCAGTGACCGCCATCCATACATCATAACATAGTATATGTATACATTGAACTCCAGCCGCAAAAACCTACAGACAGAAATCATAACTGAGTGTTTACATGTGCTATAAAATTTTGGTTAAGCAGTCTGTCACATGTCTGTGGCTTACTTCTTTTTTTTATTCAGGAGAGTGTGTTAATAGTGAAATATCCAAAAAAGTAGATTCATAAAAGTACTGGGAATTTTGATCTTTACATTACAAGTATTATTTGCAGTGTCTAGTATGAAATTTTATGTATCATACATATTACTTTCTTTGTTAATCATCTCTTAAATTATTGTATCAGTATCTGTATACTTTTCTAGCTTTATAGTATTATAAAGTGAGTTTCCTTGTGGGCGCAGCATTTTCGGTAAGGATTTTGTTTTTGGTTCTACTATTAAAATTGTACTTGTCTAATATTAGTTGTTAAATATGCTTCTTGTAGATAGATAAATATTGACTGTAATATGTAATTTTAATTAGTTTGATTTCATTTATTGTTTTGTTCATTATGGCAATTTTTATAATTAGAAAACATTTTATTTGAGCATCATGTAGAGATTGGATTATATTGTACTAATACAGACTGAATCGAAATCATTTAACAACTTGTAATAAAGAGCCAGTACCAGATTTAATAAAATTCTTAAGTAGCTCTGAAGGTAATACTTTTGGAAGGACAGGCACACTTCACCCCTGTGTTTAGTTCATACACATTGTGCAGTGAAAACAAAAGAATGAACACTTTCTTGGAATCTATTAAATGTCAACATTTCTTTTACTGAAACACTGCCAGACTGAGAGTGCATGTTTTTGTGTTTGTCTTCTGTAATGCTGCAACTTATTGTAATTTTTTATTTAAGTTTGAAGTTCTAAAGAGTGTGGTTGGAACCATCCCTAGGGTGAAGCAGGAGGGATGTTTGTCCAGGTCCCCATGCAGCAACATAACAAAATATGCAATACTTCTTGTGCACTGTTCTAGCTTTGAGGGTGGCAGAGTTGTATATTATTTCTTTGCATTCTAATTCCTGGGCCATTTCATGGTGAATTTAAGTGTCTAGTTGTCTGGCTATCTTTGTATTTGAAATATATAGTTGTTCAGCTGTTTGTGTTCCTGTTTCAAATATCTACTTGTCTAGCTGGCTGTGTTTCTGTCATTCATCATTGTCATATATGTCTTAATTGCCTTAGGCTCTGGAAATCTATGTTTGCCACTTAACACAATATTAGAAAGGCATAACACTGTTATCCATAAAGTTAACCAAACTTTCAGGGTTCCACATAGGTTGATTTGCCCCAGCCTTGAATCACTCTAGGGATGACACTGAATACAAATACTTATTTTGCAATGAGCTTAATCCCTGAAAGGTGAGTTGGGTGTGGACTAACTCATCTATGTACTTCTCATGTTTGTTATATGAAGCCAGCTGTAAAATTGTTATGTTGCATGGTGTGGGTTATGGTGTATGTAATAAATATATAGTACAATCATTAATCCTGCGAGTTCTGTGTAAGTATACAATTTTATTTTGGATGGTATTGGTTTATGCCTGCTTACTAATTTTGTTGGTTCAGGATCGTGGCCAGTGGTAGGCTTTGGTATTGTCGGTGTTGGACCTGCAGGTTCTGCTACCAGGGAGTTAGTTAGTTACTAATTTAGTCTCTCTAGTGATTCTTATTTTCTTTGCATGTTTCTTGTCCACAAACCTTTTTGTTTTCAATATGATAATGAAAAGATAAACAAATAAGGTATCTTTTTTTGCTGTATTACTCATTGTTACAGTAAGATGAGGTGTGATTGGGTACTTATTGCCATGTACATTGAATTTTCAGATTGCAGACATTGTTTTAATTTTCCTCAAGTTATCACTGACGTAAGTCTCAGAACTGTCAGTACTTTCCAGATAAAAAGGAGGAATAATGTCCTATGGAATTTATACTGAACTCTGTCCTTCCAAATGGGTTTTGATAATGGCAAATTACAATCTGGATTACTGAGTTTTTGGATTTTGTCCAGTGATTGAGGTTAGCTCTTTCAAACAGATACAAAGTCCAAAAATTAAATAATCCAATCTGTTCTCTCTGTGTAACACAATGCCATGATTCTGAGCCACATAACCCACCTCACATTCTCAACATTAATTTTCGCAGATTCTTCTTGGTCTTTCAAGTGGTGACACCTTTCTGAGGGACAGTTTTATTACTGAATATCGTATGTTAAAAATTGTTACACATTCCTGTAATTTTGGTGAGGAATTAACAAATCATGTGTACTGATGAACTGAACTTGGAGTTTCTCAACATTTGACAAATTTGCGTGTCATCGTACACTGCTACATTTCATGTATACATGTTTTAAGGAGCATTTGTAGGTTTAACGAGATATCAGAATACAATTTAAAAAGTTCCTTTAATAACTGGTTTGGATTTGAATCCTGTTCTTTCAATAGGTTAATATACACAAATATTAGCTAATTATTAGATGTTTATAGTTTGTCATTGAAATCCATGAGACTTAACCTCAGACTTTTTCATGAGGACATTTAAAACTATAAAAATGTTGCATGAAAAATAAAAAAAAATAAAATTCAGGAAGCTTATTTTTTCCATATTAAGAGGCCTGTAAAATATATCACTAACACTGATGTAGTCATGACTTCATTACAAATTACAGATTTTATTAAAATAGGTAATTATCATATTTTTGTTTATGTGTTTTCCTTGCTGTAATTAAATCAGTTTCAGGAGACTTCCATGAGATGTGGCATACACCCTAACTTCCATATACAAAGGATGCGTTTTTTTAAGTTTGTGTCATTTAAGTCTGGGTTTATAAATGTGAAAGGATCTAATAAAAATGATGCTGTATTTTAGATTACTTAATGGAAGTGCATTAATGTGACCAATCAGTCTTATTGCATGAAATTTTTATAAGGGAAGCATTACATTTTCTAGCATGTGCATGTTGTATGAGGGTTGAGGTGTGTCACTGCATTGCCACAAGGAATTTTTGCTGAAGGCTTTAGGAAAGACTTCCTTCATGCATGGGTCATGGCCTGTCTCCCCTGAAACTAAAACTTATGTGTGAAATTACTTTTTGTGATGCAATCTACAAGGAATTAGTTACAAATAAAATTGAATCTATATATGGAGCGAAACAAGGTTGTATTCTTCCTTATTTCTCATTGAAGATGGTTGTCTTACGGTAAATATTGACCAATATTTCAGAGGTACTCCTCCATCATCAGGGCAAATCATCATCATACTGATGATGGAGGCAGTCAACACTTCTGAAATGTCAGTCAGTATCTACCAGACTACAGATCACAACATCTGAGAAGACAGACAACTTCTTACTTGTCACCATGAGAACCTTAATTTTATTTATTTTTCATTGTTATGGGTAAGATGGCATTTGTGAAGATAAATCAAAACAAAAGGGAAAAGATTAAACAGCGGTAAGATAAACAGTTTCAAGGTGGATGAAGATGATATTCAGTGTGTGGAAGAATTTACGTACCAAGGCAGTGTGGTTACAGAAGATGGATTAGATCCAAAGATATTAAAAGTTGTTTAAAGAGCAAATTTAATTTATGTCCAGTTGTAGCCAGTTTGGTGAGTAACCTTGTAAGTTAAGAATTTTTAATAACTGTTCTTTTATGCAGCTGTGAAATATGAAAGACAAGCCAAACCATGTAACATAAATTACAGATATTTGTAAACCATTGGTTTAGAACAATTTTTAAATGTGAGATGGCCAGAAGCGATCACCAACCAAATGTGCAGTGGAAATTAGAAGAAGAAAGTGGAAAATGATTAAGCATATATTAGGGGAGCAAAAGGGAGTGCTAGAAAGGGAATCCCTGAACAAGAAGCTTCAAGGGATTTTAAGTAGAAGACCAAGAACAACCTTGAAGAGAATGCTTGAAATGGAATCTCTAAAAGAAGACAAAACATTGAATGAAGTTAATCTGTCTTAAAGTAGGGCTGTTGGCAGCACATATTCTTCCAAGGAGTAAAAAGATGGATGTGTGATATTTTAGTTTTACTCTTTTCAGAAAATTCAATTAACAAAAGTTACATATTTTTAATTATCTATTACCATACATGATTGCAGGATGCTACAGTAAGTGGCACTAGTGTCACTCCCACCTTACAAGTTTATGCAACTGCTGTGTTGTTATTACAGTTTGTACAAAATTAAGAAGTATGAGGCTTGGCTGGCGTCCATTGGCATAATGTTCATATCAAGTTTTGTGTAAATCTGTGCTATGGTTCTTAAGTTGAGACATGGACACACATTCACTCCTGTAGGCAATCGTTATACACATGTCTTGCAAAGATTGAATTTTCACCATATTTAGTATTAAAGAAGACAGATTCATAAAAGTTCTATATTTTCATCTTTTCCCATGCTGTTTCCATACCATTTCTTTGGATTGTGATCTTTTGCAAATGTTGACAAATTGCTACAGATATGAAAGTTCAAATAAAAATGTTCATTTTCATCACAAGATCTGAATAATTTTTAGACATTATGTGATGTGGTGGGTGTAGATTTACATATATTTTATCTTGTATAAGAACTTTGGAACCATGGTTTGATAGTAGTGATATCTACTGCACTATTGTATTTGGTAGTCGTCAGGTCTCGTAATTTCCAAATCTCTTACAGGCTCATTGTGGCGGTATATACGAGCATCAATGTCACTGTCAGGCTACATGCCACCATTGTGTGATCCAACTGATGGACATCTTTTGTTGGATGGTGGATATGTCAACAATCTACCAGGTAAACCAATCACAAGCTATTATATTATTGTACTGTGTGCTTAGACTGGTTTGGTTGAGTTGTCACTTGGTGCATAAATGATACTGATATTGTATGAAAGAATGACGTATATTGTTTGAAGTCATTCCCAACCACTTCTACCCTGTGTTTTTAACCTCATTTATTATGTTCTCTGTGTATCATTTCAGTGTATCAGATTTCTTGGTTTGTTACATACTGATACATTCTGTTTATTAAATAGTTCATGTTTGCTTTCTTCTTCTTACTATCTTCAATTTGTGACTCTGTCATGTATTTTGCATGCCTTTTTTGAGTGGTGTTCAATTTTAAAAAAAATTATCCATATATCTTAATAAACCATAGGTTCACAATTTTAAATATTATGTCTCCTGGCAATTAATCTCTGAAAATTAACAATAAGAACATTGCCTCTTTCTCTTTTGGTGTTGTACTTTAACCACTTCTTCACCTTGCATATGACTTTTTCTGGTGAAAAAGTAACTGTAATCTATATGGTTTGGTTTGTGTATGTAAGAGGATGTGTTATTTAGTTGTGGGATTATGTACTTGCATGTTTCTTTAGTTTTTCTCTAATAAATCTTGATTACTGGACAAGAAATCCCAGACAGGACCCATTCCTTCCCACGTTTAATTCTGATCCCTCCTTTTGTTGCTTCGATTTAAAAGTATCTCTGCAGGTTCATTGTGGTGTTATGTGCGCTCCAGTATGACGATAGCAGGGATATTTCCACCCTTCTGTGATCCTAGAGATGGACATTTACTCGTAGATGGTTGCTATGTCAACAACGTGCCAGGTAAATGCACTGTGTGACATAAAAGAAATGTATGACTCTTTTTATGATTAAACAGCTGTTTCCTACTGTATTTTTATTCATTATCACCATAAGTAAGTCTATAGTATTTCTTTAAGCACATTTTCAAATAAAAGTTGTGAAAATTCACCTAGTAGCTTCATCCTGTATGTCTGTCTACATGTAACAACTTAATAATGGCTGGATGGTTTCTCGTTAAAGACAAAATGGGTAAGTTTTATTAATATTTCAACTTACGTTACAATCCGACAACAGTGAACTCTTTATGTGGAAACCTGCATGTGTTTATGATGAATGACCTTGGCCCTAGCTCCAAGGCCATTGGTCACTAGTCTAGGTAAGTGAAAATCTGTGATCTTTGATTTAATGGCATACAATACAAAGCCTGAAGATTGCATATTTCATATAACATGTTCAAGAAACTATACAATACTGCATCTGGTGTCCATATAAGCTCATAGCAAATCTATTTAAAACATTAAATTGTTTATTATATAAAAAGGCCTAAGTGACAGAGACTAGCTCTTTCTAAGGGACCCTACAGAGTAGGTACCTCTCACCTGAAGACGGCGACAGAACCAGCCTCCGAAACGTCGTGAATTTTAAAAACAGACGATGGAAAAAGTCCAGACAACAAATAGTTTTTAAGTGTAAACTACCATCGTCAAAATCCTTTATAACTGAATAAAAAGGCCTGTTTTATGAAATGAAAATGATTCTTTGTAGGGAGTCTAATCCCTTTGTGCCTGTGTGTGTCTTGTTGTGAGTGTGATTAATTGATCAGTAACTGGTGGTATGGCTTAATATAATCTATAAATTCCAGTGTGATGATATGCTTTGCAAGGCAGCAAGTTTCAGTTCTCTTGCTAATTCAAGACAGTAGCAAAAATAATTACATGTTTGAGGATAAAGAAAACAAATGACCTGTTACAATAGTGGGAAAGTAGCATAAAAATTAAGAATTAAATCTTGTTACATGCCACTAAATAGATGTCTCTTAGACAGGAAATATTTTAAGCTGGATATAAATTCATTACTAGTATGAAAAAGATTTTCAGACCAAAATTAATGTTTGCAAATGGCATATCTTCCTCCCAGCCTTGATTGCAATTTGTAGAAAACTATTATTACTTTTTGTAACTTCACACATTAATAAAATTGTAATATTTCCAACAGCGGATGTGATGCGAAGCCATGGAGCAAAGCACATCCTTGCAATTGATGTTGGTTCCCAGGATGACACGGACCTTACCAACTATGGTGACTGTCTGTCAGGCTGGTGGTTGCTTTGGAAACGCTGGAATCCATTTGCATCACCTGTAAAAGTACCTAACCTGCCTGATATTCAGTCTCGACTTGCATATGTATCCTGTGTCCGTCAGTTAGAGGTGAATAAATGGGGAATTATATTTAATCTTTAGCTCACTTTTGTTCATCTTGGATGTGAGGTTCACACAGTGGTGAAGATGCTGATTGTAGTCGTAAGGGTTGTGTTGTTATGTTGTCTTGCAATTGCTTACCGACATTTTGGAAGTTCATTGGTATCCATTTACAAGACTGCACATTATCACAACTCAGAATACAAGTGAAATCAACAACAAATTAGTTTAGTGCCATGGTCATTCCACGTTATGTAATAAAAAGTCTTACATACAAGATTAATGCATATATTTTATTAAGGATTGTGGATTCATCAGTTTGTACAGTATTTACAGTCTTCTGAACAAAGCTTTTCTGATGCCATTACCATTACAGCTGGCAGGACTGATGCATGCAATTTAGAGTGAAGTATGTAACCCATATAAACACCAGTAACCTTTATTAGTTATACAGCACAATATACTCATAATCCAGCTCATTGTACATTGCAGTAGCACACTCCTAAACCTGGAGTTAATGCTTGTCCAGCAGCCGAAGAGTACAGGGGATTAAATCCCAAATTAATTTCCTCAACAAAATTATTGAGTGATTTTTCTTGTAGTTCTCATCAGTCCCTTCAGACAAATGGGTAAGATCACTACTGTCCACATATTCCCAGTTTATCATTTATAATCATCTTCCCATTTGAAGATGTATAATCCATGCAATTGAAAAAGTGTTCATTAACCTAAGAATTAAATGAGCATTATAAAATGTTATAATACTGCATGTGATTTTCTTTGTTTTGCTATCATCAGATGTCATGATATCATTTATATCTCTTATTGGACCTGTGTCCATTCTCAATATAAATTACATAATATTTATTAAAATGTGTGTAAAATTGATAATATTGAATTAAATTTTATTTCTTATGTGAGCAAGTTAAAATTGCTAAAGACATCTAGCATTTCATGTATTCATTGTTCAGAAAAAACATACTGTCTTCTGTCTGGTGAGATGATGATATGAAGTAATCGAGAGTTGTGAATTTCTGCTTTGTTTCTTCCACAGGAAGTAAAGAATAGTGATTACTGTGAATATATCAGACCACCAATTGACAAATATAAGACATTGCAGTTTGGCAGTTTTGATGAAATCAAGGTATGTGTCCATTTTTACAACTTATTATGAAGCACCCATTGTACAGGGGAATCTTACCCTGCACATGCCATTATTGTACCAACTACCAAGCAGGTTTGTAGTCTAAATGAACTTCCTTATTGTGTGCATATTTTGTAATCAATCTAACACACACAAAAACATCTCCATAATATAATTTGCTTATCAGCTGTCACAGCATGCAGTTACCAGTATATAATTTAATTTTAAATTTATCAGTAATGGGTTAAGAACTTTTTGAAGCTGCTTTTGTTTATTTATTTCATTGGTCCTTGTTGTATGGGTAAGGTAAACTGTAATAACTACCTTATGTAGCTCTTAATCTCAAATTTTAACTTTTGTGTTCATTATTCAAGTTTATGTAAAGTTCAGTGACTGGGACTCTCATATCCCATCATCCATACCTCTCAGATAAAATTACACCTATCTTCTTACACAGCACTGGTTTAGTTTCAGCCTCTGTTTTTATTCTCAGCCACAATTATCATGAATTAATACTGATATGTAATCGTACATTCAGCTAGCAGAGGGCAGAAACAGCTTTTATAGGTATAGCAGTCTGTGACTCCCTTCTCACACAATAAAGAGGAGACACTATAAATCAATGGGATGGGGGCCCAACAGAGAATAAAATGAGGGTTTTATAATATGGGAATCCCACAAAAGAGGAAGAAAGGTGACTAATGTAAAATGTGTACACAGTGTGTGATTTTAACTGGTTAATTATAAGTATCAAATGGATGTGACTTCCTAATTTCTACTGGGAAATCTTGGTGGTGTTTTGTGCCATCATTTAAAAATTCTCTAAGGGCGTTAAAATAGGGATATGGTACTTGCTATTGGATAGATGCACACTCCACAAGAACCACAGCACCATACATCTTGTTCACACTTCGCATGAAATGTGTGGGAGAGTGAGAGTGATGTGGAAACTTCCTACATGTGGTTAAAAAGGAAACCTAACAAGAATATGACACCGTGTACCTGGAAGTGTAAAATAAAAGTACAAGGCCATGGTATCTGTTACAGTAGACTATTTTTGAACAAATGAAAACTTTTGTTCCACAGGAGGTTGGGTATAACCATGGGAAGACATACTTTGCAGGACTGCTCAAGGCTGGCCTGCTGCCCATTTTCAAACCAGAACAAGGAAAGTCATATCACCCACATGAGTCATCTTGCTATACTTTCACTGATCTAGCACAGATGGTATGCAAGGTGGCTCGCAATCAGTACATGGATGAGTCAGGTGAGTACTTGGGAATTAGAAGTACTCTTTTATTAATTGCATTGATTTTGAAATAAATTATTCATCCAATCTCAGAACCAAAATATATAAGATGAAGATAATATTAAAATGGATTTTGGGAAACAGGATGTCAGGTTGTGGACTTGATTGACTGGCTCAGGATTTGGACCAGTGGTGGGCTTATGTAAACATGGGAATGAATTTCCAGGTTCCATAAAGGACAGAAATTTGTGACTACCTGAGTGGCTGTTAGCTTCTCAAAGATGACTCTAGTCCATGAGTTATTTAGTTGAAGATATAATTAATACAATGTTCATTCTACAGGAGAATATAGTTTTGTCATGTAATAAACATTTGAAGATTTCTGTCTTCTGGGTTGTTGCGCCGTGTGGTCTGGTCTATGCTAACCAACATTTCAGAGGTCATACTGCCTCTGTCATCATCGCCCTGATGACGGAGGCAGTATGACCTCTGAAACATTGGTTAGCATCGACCAGACTACACGGCGCAACAACCCAGAAGACAGAAATCTTCATACTCACCGCTGTGAAAACCTCAAATCTTACATAATAAACATTTGTTAGTCTGTTGGTAATGCTTGTGGTTTTATGTAGATCAGTCAGGAGCATTTGATAGTAGCAATTCTTATTATTGCCCACTGAGATCAAGTTTACTTTTAGTCTCAATTTATGTGATGGCCTCTTACCTAGGAACATGTAAACACCTAGTCTTGTGATCTTCATCATTTGCTGTAATCATATTTGTACTACTTATACAGTTTTGTTTATAAAATTGTTATATGGCATCATTATAAAACAAATAGTTATATAGTATATACAGTAGGAAGGAAGGATTAAAAATTTAGTTCCAGCAGCATATATTGGATCAATGTTTTTTACCCCCAGATTCAGAGGAGGAGTATGAAGCTGATGAAGAAGATGCTCAAGAAGTGGGGTATGTTTCAGAGCCAGCAGTGGGAGTGTCCGATGTGAGTTTATCATTTTTATTGCACTTTTTTTAGGAGTTCCGTATTGGACCCTGTTCCGAACCAGATGAATCCAGTCAACAGTCTCACACCTAAATTCCTTCCTTCTGTCTATGTCTAGGTATTACCTTCTAATTTTATAATCATACTTTTTCTTAATTTCTCTCCCATTATTCTGCAGTGTAAAAAATATTTTTGTACAGGGTACCTTCAAAACTGTTTGTTAAACAGGTATTTTTCATTCATAAAAGTCATGAGTGGGACTTGACTTACTCCAAAAGCCAAATCACTACCATTGTGACATTTAGACTTCTATTTTTGTTATATTTAATAATATTCCAAATATTAGTATTCTTTTCAATGTATAAAATATGGAAGAGGTCACCTGCATATGGAAAAGCTTTCATTTCTGTGTTACCTTTATTATGAAGAGAAGTGACTAAGTTTCTGTTCTTACAAAGTAGTTATGATATTTATATTAAAAGTAGATGTGTGATTCTTATATTTCAGAATGAAAAAACTTCAGTGCACAGAAGACGAGTAGGGGGATCCCTGTCTCTGTCAGAAAATGAGCTGGAGTCAGAGAGTGTATACACCACAAAACATAGCAGAAACAACATTAGTTAGTGGATATGAATTGCATTCATCATGATAATCCATGTTTACACAAAATACACATGCCTTTGTAATTAATAACAGAGCTGAAATAGATGTCAGTTTGTACATATTCTGGGATAATATTTTTTCTTAGGTTTAAGCACTTTTCTTATAAAACAGTTAATTTAGAGCACTGTAGTGCTGTCTCAAAGCAGAATTTGCAAGCATAGAATAATTAGATTGTCTTTATGTGAAAGTACAAAATGGTGATGAAGACAGTTGAGAAAGAGAATGCACATCCATTCTGGTATGCTACCAATACTGCATGGTGCAACATTTTGATCATTAAGCTGATTATTTTAATCGCTTAATGCTATGAAAAGACTATTCTAGAAAGCTGCTGAATTCCTCACTTCAACAGTTGATTATGATGATATTGATATGTTAGTTCTAATCAAAGTATTGTACAACATTCAGTAGTTGAGAAATCAAAGTGAGTTTTAATAATATTTTTACTGTACCAGGTGCTGGAAATAAACCAGTACCACATTTCTTCTTGCCATGTTTTGCTCAAAAATATAAATTAATATAATTCCAATCACTTAAAAATTCCTTCTGTGATTGTTATCATTTGTGTTTAATGAAATGGCCATTTAAAAGGCATGGTCATCCGCATTATATTCAGAAGGAGCTCTTTTTTCTTTCTCAGGCTGACAAATTTGCATAAAGAATGACATGCAATGAGGAAGACAGTGTTATCTCAAACAGCAGTGCTACACACCTGATGAAGAAAACACTGGCTGGGACCTTAGGTCACAGCTAGAGTGTGAGGTTTGGACCATAGCACTGAAATATATTTAATTTAAGTTATTTTGAAAAAGACATTATTTTGATTATTTGAAATTATCAGCAAAACTGTAAAAGACCAGCACATAATAAAAAAATTATGAATCTTCAAATTTAAGGAATACATTGTCCACTGAGAAACCTTAGGTTAATGTGGATCCAGTTTATGGGACATATTTACTGTCTCCACCTTCAAGACAAAGTCTATGTGCTTCATCACACAGAAACAGGGTCCTCATTAACACTGAACTGCCATGAAAGCATGAAATCTATAGCAAAGCTTTGTTGGTATTATTACTGAGGGTTGTACACAGAAACCCCTATGTGTGATATGCTGCTTATTTCTAGTCAGTAAGATGATACATGACTGAGAGCTGCATTTGTATGAAGAGAAATTATGTACATTTAATTATGGGAAGTATATTGTAATTTAATATCAGTTCACATTTTGGTTACTATCAGCAGTGTAAATGAGAACTCTAAGTTTACGCAATGAAACTGGTTTATATTATATATCTTTTAATTATACATCTTTTTACTGGTTTAACATTAAATTGTGCAATATGTAGAAAATATATCTGAAATGAAAGTACAGTTACATCTCAATGAACAATCAGTAAATTAAATTAAAACTGGAAACTGCTGTAACATTTGTTGCCATATTAAAATTGAGAGCTCAGAATTTATAGATTACAAAATGAATAGTAAATTGCATGAATGACATTTACAGACTTCACCAAAACTATGAATATAGCAAATGGTGTAGTACCCTCATAATTTTTATTTGAAGAGTTTGCTTTGCATTAGTTTCTTTGTACATGTATGTCTAAGAGGAATGTATATTTTTCATATTTTATCAGTGTCTCAGGGTTAATATAAAATAATAGAGGTACAACAGTGTGTTTGAGTTTAGCTATAGTATTCTAATGAGCGACACTGTTGGATTATCCTCATGTACATTGACATGTAGTTTTCTCATCTCTATTGCAACATGTATATTAATTATGGACATTGTGCATTTTGTATAATTGTCTCTGAAGCTCGGAATGCCAAGAAATTTGAGAAATGAGAGTAACTGAATGTAACAGAAATGACATGATCTCCTAAACTTTTTTTTTTTGTATGGTATCATTATTTTTATGTACATTATGTGTGTGTGTATATATAAACTCCAATCATGTATAAATCTGAACAAATGAACTGTATCTTTGAATTATGCAAATTTATGGCAATTAGTAGCATATGTTATGAATAAAATTCCATATTTCAAATATTTTTTTGTACCTGTGCAGCAACTGTTTTAATTTTACCTGTGGCACAATATGATACAAAAAAGTGGTACATTTCTGTCTGGGTGAATATTATGTCGTCCTTTCAAGTTGTAATTCAGGTATATGGTAAAAAATGTGTTTAATAATTTGATAATAAATGAACAGAAATGCTGTGCCAAAGACAGTGTATCGTGGATATAGAGATATACAGTTAAGTCATAAAAATAAAGATAATGGTTACCACCCAATGAGGCTTATTGCTGTGGTGTCTTAATTTATTTAACAGTGGTTCCTGCAACTGTGGAAGTTATGTAGAGTGAATGTTCAGTGCCTTTAAATTTTTCATGTTATGCAGTCTTTGTTATCCTTTCATGCTCTTCATGTGGAAATATAGAGCTATTGTAATGAGTTGTGCATTAACTCATGAAGAGCAAGTTACTGGTTTGATTTTATAGTTTTGTAAAAGCATTGTAATAAAGTAGTTATGTTCAGATATGAAGGTATGGAATAAGAAGGTGAAGGGGAAAAAAAGAAAGAAAGGAACAAATGGCTCCAGTAGCATGAAATAGAGACTGGTGTTTTTCTAGTAAGAACATGTAACAGTTGCGTGGAACTACAAAATATAAACATATCTGAAGGCATTGAGCATTCATTCTGTATAGCATTCAATGGTTGGATGACACTGAATGAATTTGGTAGGGTCTGGAAAGCAAGAACCATGGCCCATTTTAGGTATTATCCCATAGTTGCATGCGGAAAATCATGAATGACCTGTCAGGAAGTCTCTGGAGAGAGGAACATACTTAGGACCCCATAAATAAGATGCAAGAGCACTGATCAATCAATCACAACATTGGGTCAAAACATAAGACATGAAAATATGTGAGAAGTTTACTGAAATGAGAATAAAGGAGTGTATTGAATCTGTGAACACATTAAGAATCTTGGAAGGGCACACTTGGGAAAAGAAGTTTTGATTGACCTCAGATAACTGGTACTGTAATTCAGTCAGGTGATACGAACGATATAGACTAACTTATAAAGCAGAACAAGATACTATTTGTGAATTTTCTGACACAAGATTTGTAGTTTGACGTTACAGTCCCCATCACAGCATAAATGGTGAGTCCCTGAAACACGGCTTATGTTTTTGATATGGTACGCAGAACACGAAAACCAGCAACATCTCCATATATGTGACGACGCTTACCGGCACAATCAGTTTATTAGTAATCATGTTGTGATGACAGTGACTGTCGTAGTTGCACCGAAGTTACACAGGATCCGTGGGTAGCACTGACCTTTGGAGATGAAACTGTATTTAACTTCTTAGCGAATATAACTAGATTTTTACTTATGTTCTGAAATACTTCAACTTCACCGAAAAATCGGATCATCTAACTGCGGTAATCTATGATAAGTGTACGGCCATCTGTGGATAACTGTACTTTATCGACTTCCTTGACGTGTTAACATATTGAAGCGTGGTATGAATGAATGCACGAGTTTGTGTGGAGACGAAATATAAGTGTAGTTAAACTGGGTTATGTACGTTTTTCTAAAACCGTTAATAGCAACTGTAACGACGGCATCAAGAGACTAGTGAGTGTATAAAAATGGCGGAAAATGTATCCGAAAGTCATAAAGCTAATGATATGGGCATTCGTTTTGGCAGTAAAATCAATGACGTAGAAGGCAAAACCCCATTTCTAATAGGAGTTGCTGGTGGTACAGCCAGTGGAAAAGTAAGTTATGTTTGAATGTTTGTTAAAACTGTTGCATAAACATACATACATGCACGTATGTTAATACATATGTCAATGTTGGTCGTTTAGGTTACAACGTCTTGTGGTCTTGTAGGTACTGTAGATAGATACCAACGATTCGGAGAAACATACTGCCTCCCAGGGCCTGTCAGTTGTGGCACCATGGTCTTCATTTTTAGTGCCGGGGCACAGCCCTACCCTTTTTTTTAAAGGCCGTGAGAATTGGATCTATGTTCTTATGACATTTCTAACTGGGAATGATCTCAAGAATATGATCTTTAAGTATTAACATAAAGTTACTAGACAGCATGTAATTACATATACAAAAACTAGCAGAACCCGCAGGTCCAACACTGACAAGATCAAAGCCTGCCACTGGCCACAGTCCTGAACCAACTCCATCCATTTACCATCCTCACAGCCCACCTCCCAAAGATCCATCTTGGTGTTATCTTCCCATCTCCTTGGTCTGCCCTGTGGTTATTTTCCAGAAGGATAGCCTACCAAAATTCTGCATGCACCCCTTGCCTCTCCCATGTGTGTTACATGTCCAGCCCATCAGAGCCTCCTAGATTTCACTATCCTCACTGTGCTAGGTGATTGTACAATTCACGCAGCTCCTCATTAAGCAGTATTCAAATTTCCCACCTATTTCATACTTCCTAGGTCCAAATATCTTCCTAAAAACACACGATTGTATATTGTCAGAAATGTATCACACCAAAAAGTGTTCCCATTAAACATTGTAAATCTTTGTGTTCTTTTATCATAGTGAACTTTCTTTTATACACTTAGATATAATTTGAACTTAAGTGAATTATGGATTATACATATATACAATCCATCATTAAATTCACCTGCCAGTGTTCACTGTAGAGTCCCAGTTTTGTATTATACTTAATTTTGTTCAGTATTTTCAGAGATGAAACATGATGAAATTCATAGTACTTTCACTGCTTATGTTAATTTATTGCACAGAATGCACAACAAAATAAACTAGCCATATATCAATCACAGTATTAAAATTAATCCTTTGTTGTCTTTTTTAAATCTATAGTATCATCAGAATCCAACATCAAACTTTTACAACTGTATGTTATGATCATGCTTTTGAATCATTATCATTGCCTTAGTGTGTCTACAGTATGTTTTTAAGAGAAAATTATTCTTATATTTTTCAGTCTACAGTTTGTAAACGTATCATGGAAAAATTGGGACAAGTGGACATGGACCATACAGAAAGGCAGGTTGTATGCATCAGCCAGGATAGCTTTTATAGAGAGCTGACTCCTGCAGAAAAGGCCAAGGCAGAAAAAGGACTGTTTAATTTTGATCATCCAGGTGAGTGTGCATCAGTAAATATATTAGAAACTTGTGATTTAACTTTTATTCTTAATGATAGGTAATTTACATCCTCCATATTATTGATAAGAATATATGATTGTTTGTAAGACTTGAGGTTCTCACATTCACCGGAGCGTGTGTCATAAATATCTGATGTTGAATTCTGCATTAAACTTAACATAAGTATTTTTATATTTTGTAGCAGATTAATTGAAGACATGTAGACATGCTTGAAAAGATCTTTTTAAAAAGTCATGTAAATTATTCTAACTGCAGTCTAGGAAAGGACATGTCTTCAGTAATTCTGTTGAAAAATTGATGTTAGTGCTTTATGGAAATGTAAATAATTCCATGTACACATGATAGTACCGCCACGGTGGTCTAGCGGTTAGAACGCTGGGCTTGTAATCCTGGGGTCCCGGGTTCGCTTCCCGGCGGTGCCCGAATTTATAACTTGTGTTGGGCAATTCCGTGGTCTAGGCAACACGGAGTTTTCCTCCGTGGCATCCCAACAATTACTCCATTCACACACAGAAGAAGGCAATGGCAAACCACTTCTGGATCATCTGCCAAGAACGTATATGAACAGGTCCCAGTCCAAGAAAAGGATGGATGGATCCTGTTCATATGGACCTGTTGTCAGACAGAACACTAATAATAATAAAAAAAAACACATGATAACCAATTTCAAGTTATACTGTTGTTAACATTTCATACTAATGATACAAGGCATCAGTTAGTTTGGGTGACTGACAGAATTTTCTGTCACACTTGAGAGTCTTGTACCTGAATAGCATGTAAAGTTTGGTGGAACTGGGAAAGAAACCCATGAAACCTTTGTGCAAACCTTCTGAACCCTGCCTCATGAATAGGTTTTTTCAATGCCAAAATTATCATGTGTTGGTTGAAGATTATCCATACGTAGCAGGAACCGTCATTCATTGTTCATACTTGCTACAGTGTAGATTTCATGAGGAATATAATTTGTGAAAATTTATGCCTTACCACCAGGTGTACCATGGCAAATTGCAAAAGAGTTTATTAAAGGCCACAGAGGTGCCTGTTGGAGTCATGTACCCTGCTGTAGGACAATGCACCCGCATGCAGAGTAATGCAGAGTAATACCTGTGGTGGGATTCTTCACCCATCATAATATTTACATTGTACTCAGTGTATTTACCTTCTTCAGACATTTTATTGTTTATTATTCTCAAAGATATCCTCAGGGATCAAAGCTGCTAGATCAGTAGACTGAATGAATGGGTGCAGACAAGAGGAGAGCAAATTGGATAACCAATTTTTTCTATCTCTTTTTTCCCCTGTTTCTTCCAAGTCGTTTATAAAATGTTAGCACCATGTAATAATCTATATTTCACTAATTCTCTAGCACTCATTTTTGTTGTCCATGACATTCCTACATACTGTGTACCAAATTTTATGTTCAATGTACATTGCTTAAATCATGCTAGTCTGCATCTATTTTGTGATTTTTTCACAGAGAAGTGTTCCCCATTCCCAGCATCTCACACAGGAGGTTGTCTTGTATCTGTACTTTGTGCTGTACTTTATAAACACACTATGTCCTTGCATAATTAATTCCCTATACCATTGTCTTTTTACACACATTGTGAACACTATTTTCTGTGGGAAAGATGTTACCTGTTTTGCAAGAAGGGTAGCTTTTGCACATAATAAACTGATCATGAAATTCTAAATTACTTCCATTTCCAGCCTCATACATGCCTTACATTATTTAAGAAGTTATGACACAGATTATACCGTTTTTGCTGTTGTTTATATGTAAATAGTAAATGCTTCTGCCACAGTAAAATCTCATTAAAAATTTCATTACATGGGAGAAAACTGGGCTAATAACACTACATACTGTAGTTTTAAATGGAATGGGATAAGGGTTAAGATATTCTGTATAAATAATGACAAAAAAGAAACTGGTACTCATACAGAGGACTGGAACTGTTATTTATCAGCTGTCCCATAAAAATAATTGACTGTCTTGTTTGAGCCAATTTACATTTTCGTGTGATTTCCAGATGCTTTCAATAATGATCTGATTCTACACACTGTACAAGACATACTTGCTGGAAAGAAGTGTGAAATACCTGTGTATGACTACAGAACAAATTCAAGGTATGTGTTCTAACTGCTGCTTAATTTGCTGTGTTGTAAATGCAAAGAGAGGGCAGTGATACAGACTCAGTATGATCATTTTGATGGAAGGAGAATTGTGATAAACAAGCCAACAAATCTTTTATGCTGCTCCATTATGCATTTTCATTTCTAACTATCAGATCATGCTACCTCTATCTTCAGGGTTAAAGTGAGAATAGTTACGATGATGATGGTTTGTGTAAGGTTAGGTGGAGGATTGGGCCCATGGGAAGTTTGGCCAAAAACAGCCATGGGATTTGGGGACAGGGTAGATGGAGCCCAGTCTGGATCAGTGGGGACAAGGAACAGGAAAATCCTGATGTGGATACTTTTCCTTTACCTCACTCCTCTTTGCCTGGACTTGACTCCATTTCTCATCCCACTCTTGTACTCTGGCCAGATTTTCTGTGCTTCCTGTATAAATTGTCAACATCTGAACCTTTCTCACTTCAACCCTGAAGAATTTTCACACTCTTAAAACTTTGGCATCATCACTACCCAATTTCACTGCAGTTTGTTAAAACTTCATACTAAGTTCATCACAATAACATGCAATCAATATTACTAAATTGCAGAAAGGAAACTACTTGCACTAAAAAACATTTTACTTCCAAGAATGCTTTATATTATGATATGTAGTCTTGGTGGTTGCCATTTTTTGGATGAACCACAATTTTTATTTCATTGCTGTGAAAATCTTAAATCTCACAAAGTGTTTTATATCCTCAGCACAGACGAGTGGAACTGATGTAGCATCTGTTTCCTTGTAATCCTAAAATGTTTTTGGATGTAGAACTGCAAGAATTAAAATGGTATATATGATCTTGGGTTCAAGGGTGACTGTGAAAGATGGTAAAAATAGTTATTATACTATTTCTTAATTTATTTTCAGGTGTGATAATCAGTTCACAACAATATACCCAGCAGATGTTGTTTTATTTGAAGGGATTTTGGTATTTTATTTTCCTGAGATTCGGGAATTATTTCATATGAAGCTCTTTGTCGATACTGATTCTGATACAAGATTAGCACGTAGAGGTAAGAAGAGAACTTATAATTTATATTCATTTAATACAGTATAAAAACATGTAAATATTAATGTACAGTACATACATGAATTTTTAATTTTATATAGGTTTGAAGTTTTATAGTGTTATAGCCTTTAGTTAATCAAGATAGAAGTATCTGTAAGAAAGTATTACTACTGGATGATTAAGAACATTAAGGTTCACTGTGTTGAAAACTAGTCTTAATGTGTGAGTTGCATTCATTCACAGTACAAAGTGAAGATACAATTTGAACATCCTTTGCACTATTGAAATTTATTTTAACAAACATCATTACACACATACAATTTCCTCATCTCATATTTTAATGTTAATATATGTCTAATAAGTAATAACAATATAATGATGTAGTCAAATGATTTATGAAGTCTATAACTTTTATGAGAGATGGGCTGGGCATGTAGCGTGCATGGATGGGACAAGAGGTGTGCACCAGGTACTGGTTGGGAAACCTGTACGGAAGAGACCGCTGGGGAGACCTAGATGTAGATGGGAGGATAATATCAGGCAGGATCTATGGGAGATAGGAGTTGAAGGAGACTGGATTTTGTTGGCCCAGGACAGAGTCCGGTGGAGGGCTTTGGTTAATTCGGTGATGAACCTTCGGGTTCGGTAAGCCATCTAGTTAGTTAGTTAGTTAGTTATAACTTTTATGACAGTCTGTGCATGTTGGGGAAAACTTGAGTGCCATCGGGTGGTTGTTATTTGTGTATCACAAGAATTGCTGTTGCTTGCTGTTAAAATTATGTTGACAGTTAATATTTGTCTCCGACCTCTACCTTCTGCCAATATGAATTATGTTAGGTTGATTTCCAAGCTCCATTTCTTTGAAGTTTGCAGTATACATCATGAGTTAAATAATCCCTCATATTTGTCTTGCTTCTAGTTCCGAGAGATATAAAAGAAAGAGGCCGAGACTTGGATCAAGTGTTAAATCAGTACATGTACTTTGTGAAGCCTGCTTTTGAAGAGTTCTGTTCACCAGTAAGCATCTTTATTTTCATATGCAATTGATGATTTATTTCAAACAGAGAAGTCTCACACTAACAGTTACTTCAGGCTAATACCATTAGGTTGTCACAAAGCACAGTCTAGATACTTTGATACTTTGTTCTGATGAGCGCAAGTAAAAAATTTCACCCAATGCTCAATCAAAATCAGATATCCTAAGTAATGGCCGCAGTGATTTCATTAATCATGTCAAGTAAATAGTACAGATGTAATCTTAATACTGTTCAATTTCAAAATAGACCTAAAAATATGTTAAAGGCCAAGTTTGAAATCATACATTCTTTACAATTCCTAGACATTGTCTGCATCCTTTAACCTGTCGACGTGGTAGTTTAAATACCCCGCATATACTGCTGTCGTGCTGTTCCTGCGGTAGTATTTTTTAAATGCCCGTTTAAATTTTGCTGTAAAATACTCTTTTTTTCATAACTTTTGAACTATATGAGATATAATTATGAATTTTTCACTGAAATCCTCTTAAAAGATGGTTTTATAATCTTACTTTATAAGATGAGATGTGTGAGCAGTGGAAGCAAGTCGATTAGAAGTTTAGTTTCAGAAAAAAACGGAGTGTACAACAGCCGGTTCTTTGAATAGTAAGATCTAAGTGTAGGCTTTTGCACAATGCCCATCAACATAAATAGAGCCAAAAGAACGTAAATTTCGTCCACTGTAACATCTTGCCACTTCCTAATCCTAGAGCGAAATGTGAGAGGATTGGCACTTTTTGATATTTCTTGCTGAGCATATCTGTTGGTTTGATCAGCAATGTGCTGCACAAGTGCTATATCGAAAATATTTTCGAATAAACTCACGACATCTAGTTCAGCAGTGTCGAACTGGGGACCACATACATTACAAAATGCTTCTCGTGAAGCAGGAAATGAGTCTATATTTTCCCACAAAA